TCTCTCTCTCTCTCTCTCTCTCTCTCTCTCTCTCTCTCTCTCTCTCTCTCTGTGTGTGTGTGTGTGTGTGTGTGTGTGTGTGTGTGTGTGTGAATTTAACGATAAGGAAGGGAACGAGAGTGTGGCAACATGAGACGAACGATGAAGGCAGGGTAGATAGTAGGGGGAGGATGACATGCTGATTTGACTCTCTATGTTCTCGGATTCACTATATATTTTCTGATAGTGGCTGAGATGCATTCAGACTCGTCTCGATTTCACGTCCAACATGCATACATGCAGATGCCGATGGCAAAACAACTTCCTCAAAGCAAAATCAGCAACAAGCTTGAGATGGCGCAGTGCGGCCACACAGAAAACTCAGGGATATGGCCTTCGGCCAGGAACTCGGCTCAAGACTTGTCGCATCTCGCGGCTTTGGCGTCTGAGCGCCAGTCTAAAATTCCCACCCGAACACTGTATCCACCATCAGACACACTCACACGCACGTACGCACACAACACTTGGATCTACCCTGAATGTCTACACTCACACACACTATCTTCTATCTTCTATCTTCTATCTTCTACATGCGGGCGGCTATGGCCGCCGCCGTCTTCCTTCTCCTAGCAGCTATGGCCGCTTGCCCTCTTCAACCCTGGCTCTCCTGCTGACCACCTGTGACTCCACGCACAAAACACTCGAGCAGTGCTTCCGCGTAGTTTGTCTCAGAATGAGTGAATGACTGATCGCTGCCTCTATATTTATACTGTTTCGTTTGGTGGTCTGGGCCTGCCCTATGTCCCAGGCCCTCAAGATGGGCAGTCCCACTCTGGTACTCGCTGCAAAACGGACTGGACTGGGACTGCCTTTTCATGTGCCCTTCGGGGTTGACTTGGGACTCTTGACCTTTCAGAGATTTGACGGGCAGCCTCTACTGACTTCGAGAGGTCAAGTTGACTCTTCGAGACCTAGCCTAGCCACGACCTACTGACCTTTCAGAGGACGTATGGCCACTTGACCTTTCGAAAGGTCAACTGTAAACTTGCCTTTTCAGGACACCTATGGACGGCCCTAAGACTTCTAAGCAACAGACCTACCGATCAAATCCACACGACCCAGGCTTCACACACAAGGCATTTATACACGGGTTTGGGGACACGGTGTGGGTTCAAGGCACACGGGGTCAATGAACAACACAAACATACTGTACACTGGGTTGGGGAAAGTCTGGGGATCAATCCCCGGTAACTGCAATTGTTGCACGAACTGGGTGAAACCCTTTCAGAGATGATCATCTGAGCAGGAGGCAGAAGGATTATCACGACGTTGTCGTATGCCATGTACCCAATGTGTTCACTGTGAAAGTAAAGCCTCGCGCATTGAGTTCAGTTGCAGTTGCTCCTCTCTCTCTCTCTCTCTCTCTCTCTCTCGCTCTCTCTCTCTCTCTCTCTCTCTCTCTCTCTCTCTCTCTCTCTCTCTCTCTCTCTCTCTC